AGAGAGCTGCTCCACTGAACACACGGGCGATAAGAAAGTGAAACAGCCTCACTGCTGGTACGGAGAAAGTGGAGAGGAGACCGACCAGCCGCATCATCCCCTTCAGCTGACGTGTGACCCGCAGTAAGGCCGAGCTCCCTTCACTGTGAGGCGGCTGCCGGGGAGGAGTGGGAGACCACAGAGGCTGGCTCGCGGGGTCGCCGGGAAGCTGCTGCCTCCAGGACGGGAGTGCTCCGTGAGGCGCTGGTGCTGGAGCACAGGCAGGTGCCCAAAGGACGGAGCCAGGGAGACCGCGAGGTGCCACCGGCCACTGTCCACTGGAAGGAGTGCTGCCCAGGACTCTGGTGACCAAGTGAGGCCAGGGCTCATTTACCATCTGAACATCCCAGGGCCCTGAAGAACCATGTTAAATCTACTCTGCCTGTGCTCTGTAAATGGAACAACAAAGTTGGGATGACAGCATATCTATTTACTGCATAGTTTACTATTTTAAAAAACTTCCTGGTGACTCAGATGGTAGAGAATCTTGCAGGAGACCCAGGTTTGATCCCTGGGTCAGGAAGATCCCTTGGAGAAGGAAACAGCAACCTACTCCAGTAATCTTGCCTGGAGAATTCCATGGACAGAGGAGCCTGGTGGGCTACAGTCCATGGGGTCACAGAGAGTCAGACATGACTGAGCGACAAACACTTTTTTTTAAACTATTTTAAGCCTACTGTTGAGACCTACTGCTCAGAAAACAAAATTCTTTCCCAATTTCTGCTCGCTGACAGGTACCTTCTCACCCAAAAGCTCTGACGGACGATGAGGCTTGCGCTGTTTTCACACCTGCTAACACAGCCAACCTGCAGCCCATGGAGCAAGGAGTCATCCTGACTTTCAAGTCTTGTCATTTAAGAAGCACATCTCACAAGGCTACAGCTGTCACAGACAGCAGTTCTTCAAAGGATCTGGGCAACCCTCTGGAGAGGAGTTGGCATTCCAGATGCCGTGAAGGACATTCATGATCTGTGCAAAAATGTCAGAATGTCCACAGTAACAGGAGCTGGAGGAAGTGGATCTCAGCCCTCAGGGATGGCTTCTCAGGGCTCAAGATTTTTGTTCATGTATGACAAAAAGCCACAAAATTCTGTAAAGAAATATCCTTCAATTTAAAAAAAGGGGCGGGGGGAAGAGGAAGAAGAGACTTCAGTGGAAGAAGCAGCAGTAGGTGTGGGGGAACAGCATGAGGACTGCAGTCATGCACGGAGCCTGAAGACGGGACCGAAGCACTTGGATCTCAGGATGAAGTCTGAACAGAGGAGCTGCTTCCCATGGATAAGCAAAGGAAGCGGTTGCTTGAGACAGAATTTACTCCTGGTGAAGATGCTGTGAAGACTGTGGAAATTATAACAAGGGTTTAGGATATTCTATAAAGCTTAAAAGCTAAAACAGTGGAAGAGTTTGAGAGGATGGACTCCAATTTTGAAAGAAGTTCTACTATGGGTAAAATTCCACCGAACAGCACTGATACTGCAGAGAAGCCACTGGTGAAAGGCAGAGTCAATCCATGAGGCAAAGTTCACTGACTCATCTTAAGGAACAGCTGAAGCCACTACGAATTTCAGCGAACACCACTCTGAGAGCCAGCAGCTGTCAACACAGAGGCAAGACCCTCCACCAGCAGAAAGACTGTGCTCACTGAGGCCTAGATGATATTCGGGTAGCACTGTTTAGCAATAAAGCATGCTTTAACTGAAGTATGTACACTTTTGAGGTATGCTATTGCAACTTAGAGTGCAAACACACTCTGAGAACCCAACAATCTGTATGCTTGCCCCTTCTACTGCGGGGGTCTGGGCTGAGCCCACGGTCGAGGCCGACTGTAGCAATTCTGCTCATCGTCCATGGTGTGTTCTTCACTCCCCTGTATTTCCTGTAGATTATGAGGCAGACAAATCCAGACTTCAAGTCTCTTTTTAGCAAGAATTCGTTGTTGTACTGTGAGACATATTTCTGATTATGGGATAAAAGGTATGTTCTGCACACTCTGTCTGGCTTGGTACCATCAGCCCCTGGCATGGGGAGTGGGGTCGTCAAAACAGGAGGCTCATGGCTCCTTTTTCAATTTTTAAAAGTTGCCGTAAATGCTCATGTTTGTGAGCAAGAAATATGAAGCACACACATGTAAGCAGTTTGGTGTTATGATCAAACAAAACAAAAAAACAAAAAGTTAACCTGAACTTTCAGTTACAGAAGGCAGATTGAAACCACACATTAACCTTAGGTCTAACCAAAGCCCTACGAAAATGACAGAGCAGCATGTGTGTACACACAGCGTTCATGCCCAGGGCATGCATAGTCCACCTTCTGCACACAACACAGATGTAATTATACAGACGGAGTTAACACCACAGTTAAACAGACACACAGGAGTTTAAAAGCTGCCGAGAATATGGGTGAGTGGAAACTGATGGGGTCAAACTTAGATCGTAAATTGGCAGCATGAGAACAAAGATGCAACCTAGTTCACACTGCAGAATTGAGCCCGAGAGTCAAGAACTTATGCTATGGGAACTCCCCACACGGGGATAAAGCCCAACGGTCCATAAAGGCTGTTAAGAAAGAGACAGCTGTCCCCACCCCACCCCCACCAACCCACCACAGTGGAGCCAGTGCTTCCTTCTCCTCGACGGTGACGCAGCAGCCTGTGTGGTACCAGGGCCTGAGCAGCATGGACACCTGCGTGAAAAGCTCTGCTACAGCCCTGCCAGAGAACTGACTCGGGACAACTACTTCACACGAGTATTAGTACATGAGATACACTCAACTCTACGTATTTTAGAAAACTTGTCTTCATTAAAAGCTGGTGGGGACACGTTTTGACCCTCATACAACCACCGGCCGATCCCTTAAGCACATGAGCAGGACAGAGGCAGGGGTGTCTGGAACCACCTCAGAGTAGAAGCCAATCTCTTCGGTTCACCTTCAAGAAAACCAACTGCAGGATAGGGCGGGACTGCCTTGGGTACCACACCCACGGCAGTGACGCTTGTCTTCCATGATGGGGTCATTTCTGGAATGCACTTTCATGGACACCAAGGTCTTGCAAACCCAGACTGTTTCCAGGACTCTCCTAGTGCAGAAGGCCAGGCTGATGTGCAGCTGTGGCTGTGCCAAACCCAAGGGCCTCCGTGCACCTCACTTCTCAGCACCTCTTTTTCCCTCCATGTCCTGCTCTACTTCTTGGCTTCCTCCTAACACCACTGCGTCCAGCGATCTCCTCTACTGGATTCTCTCCTGCAGCCCAAGTAGGTCTCCTCCAGGAGCTGCTTCCTCCGTGAGCCCGGCTTTGAGTCTGGAGTTTGTGTGTGCCCACGCTCCACTCAGACCTGGAGATGCCGAGTCTCTGCATCACTGCCACTGCCCTCGGGTGCTGTGTGTCTCTGAGCCCGACACTCGTCTGGCTACCAGGGGCCCGGCAGGGCGGAGCCACCAACAAGAGGACAGTTGGCAGGACACCTGGTAATGCTATCCAACAACGATCAGAAGACACAGGTAAACCGGGATTTAAGTATTTATTTGGGGTGTTAAAATTAAACATACAAAAAAATTACATAGCAAATGAAAGTGTTGAAATAAAGATGCTTAGGGAAAAAATATCAACGAAATTAACTTGTAGTAAGGACACATTCTTTATTGGCTGAAGGGTCTTCATCATACACTTAACATAAGACAAATGCTCAGGACTGTGGTTTTGTCATTTGAGTCACAGCCTCAGGGGATACAGGGGTGAACATGCCTAGGAGAGACCACCTTCAGTATATTTCTTCATAAGTTTTGTTCAAGACTAAACCTTCCTTGACACCAAATGAACAAACACAAGACTGACTTACTTCAAATGATGGACACAGCACATGGCCATGGAGGACCTCAGAGCTCCCTGTACTAATACATTAACGCCAGCATTGAAAACGGGACCGTGGCATTGGGGAAAAATCTAAAATCTGACTCAATTTTCTGAAGCAAATGTTGTGACAGAGGCAGGTCAGGGAAGCCGAGTCTGCAGGAGGACACGGCAGCCTGACCTGTTCTGGTGACACAGACACCACCAGAGCAGAGACCCTGAACCACCAAGCAGCACCCTAGAGAGGCCAGAAAAGTGGTGCGGGTGGGCAGCAGGGCACCCGGTTCTGGAGGAGGCGCTGACTGCAGCCCCTCACGTGTGAGGGGCTCAGAGGGTCAGGAGGCCCACGTCGGGTTCAGGGCGAGTCCCACAGAGGAGGCCTGACAATGTGAGCGCCGTGCACATAGAAGCCAGGCGGCAGAGGTAACTCTGAACCCGAGGCCACAGGCAGCCTCCCCGATGGAACACAGTGGGGGGTGGGCCACATGCTCTTCTCAAAAGTCCACTTGGGTTAGGAGTGCCAGAGCCATCGGCGTGAAAGGAAGGCTTTCACACAGCTGCACAGCTTAGGGCAGCTCCAGGTGTTCACATAAGCCACGCATCCCCTCCCAAGGTGTCCTGGAAGCTGCAGGAAACTCGGGAAGACACTCGGGGCCTAAGCTGCCCTACCTTCTGCAGCCTTCACCACACAGCACGCAGCTTTGAGATGCTCCCTGATTTTTAGAAAGGTATAAAGTCATACTGTTAAAGTCGCTCAATCACGTCTGACTCTTTGCAACCCCATGCACTGTACAGTCCATGGGATTCTCCAGGCCAGAATATTGGAGTGGGTAGCCTTTCCCTTCTCCAGGCAATCTTCCCAACCCAGGGATCGAACCCAGGTCTCCCACGTTGCAGGTGGATTGTTTACCAGCTGAGTCATACTAGGCCCATGGTAATAAGAACGGCAAAGCAAATACTTCCTGGGCATTTTAAATCAGGTCAGTTTGGTTGAAATAAAACATACACCAACTTCTTTCTAAGCTCCCCAATGAGAGGAAAGAAAAGAGAGAGGGCCAGCCTAAGCTTCCATGCAGACACCTGTGGGCGCTCAGTGGAGCATCACCTGGAGGCTCTACGTCTTCACAGCGGGTGGGGGGGCAGCCTGGAAGCAGGCCAGCTGCAGGTGCATGCCACTCTTGACCCGGCTCAGCAGCTCCTCCAGCAGCCTGTGGGAGAGACAGAGACAGCCACGTGGCTCCTGCCCCGTGGTGCTTCTGCAGCCAGAAAAGTCACTTTTCTATGAGCTCTGAATTCCAAGACAAAAGAAACTCAAATAAAGAAGGTCCTCTACGGGAACATCTATCCATAGACATACTTACGTTTATACATGAAACCGTCCTTCTGCCCCTTCCCCTGGATTAACTGGACCCCTCCCTAAACAGACTGACGTTTGGGGTCTAGTACTCCAGAGCTCTGACATGCACTCTCTGTGACTCTGATAACACAGCGCAGCGTCTCACGACCCCCACGTCAGGACAAACCCTCTTGTGCTGCCCATCTGCAGTCACCTTTGTCCTCACCCCACTCCTTGGCAATGACTGATCTATCTTCCATTCTCCTTATTTTGCATTTCTGCTTTTAACAAGTATTGGAGAGGTGAACTGAAGGCATGAAGAGGCACCCACAGAGTCGGGGTAGTCCAAGCTGCAGCAGTGACTCCACCAGGCCCCTGTGCTGGCCAGATGCAACTGGATAACTTCAGGGCCATGAGGGGTCTGACAGCTCCCTGGGCTCAGATGACGCAATCAAGAAATGAGCTTGCTGGTACTTGGGTCAAGGGATTGCTTCCTGGTTTAACGATGCTCCCAGCAGACCTAAAACAGCCCCGTCTGGCCTTCATCACTGTATCTGTGGCTCTCAACCACCCCAAACCACTGGTCTTCTGAGGAGATGAGTGAGCACTACTTGCATGGTTTGATGGTAAGTGAGGCTTTAAATCTTTCACTTAATTATATTAAAGGAGAGAACAGCATTTGAACATGTGGTCAGTGAGGAAGCGGGACTGGAAGGCAGGGCTGCCCAGCTCCTCTCAGACAGACCAGGTCACCCTGCTCTCCCAGCCCTGTCCACACCTCCAGGGCCCCCTCTGCCCGTGCAGGTCCACCACACTTTCCTACGCCGTCACAACTGACCCTGAGGGCTGCATGCGGTCGGGGGTCCCTAACTGTCCACGACCCGTCCAGTAGCTGCAGGGTGGGGGACCTCGGCTGGGCTGGGGAAGGAGCTCAGGCATGCTGACATCTGCCTGGCCTAGATTTTGTCTCAGGTCAGGGTTTCCTGTTACATGAGTAGCAAAGTTGAAGATCAAGCTGAGACTATTAATACAGTACTAGTGGAACATATGTAACTTCATTTCGTCGCGTGTACACATTTACTCCTAATGCTTCTTATCACCCGGAGCACAAATGTACACTGCTGACCCACTTGAAAGACAAAGTCTCTTGAGTCCTGCATTTTACTATGTTGTCCTCTCTTTTACATTTCTCTAAGTATTGTCTTCTTACAAATTTCAGATAATAGTTTTCTGAGTCAAAATAAACTTTCTTATAAAAAAGTTTAAGTGACTGGTATAGTTACTTAAAACAAGGAAAGAACTAATTTCTGAAACGTCAAAAACCAGGTTCCACCCCCTCCTGCCACGTGGGAGATGGGCTAATGCCAGGCACGCCCAAGGGCCACCGAGTCCCACCTCCCTCCAGGCTCCACCTGAAGAGGAGGTGTCCAGGTGACAACACGTCACCTGAGAACAGCACGAGACTTACTTTCTGTCTGCTCCGCTTGAGAGCTGAGGCAGGGCTTCCAGGGCCTGCTTGAAACTGGATCTGTAACAGACAGCATCCCAGGCGGAGACACGCCGGCCCCACCGGGAACAGGGACGTTAGAGAAAAGCATGTCTTATGTTCAGAGGAACTCACAGGCAGGTGAGGCAAGTAGAGCAGGAGGGAAAGTGAAAATGAAAGCAAGGGTTTGCAGAAGCAGGGCCAGAAGAACTAAAGCAGGAAATAAAACATGACTTGAAAAGCAAAGGAGAAACTGAATTTTACACAAGGTGCTTCTAATAGTAGACGAGAGCTTGGTGTGGAGTTGTTAAATTTAAAAAGGTTTTTACTTTCAAAACAAAACTGAACTATACAGATAAAGCAGTTGCTAAGAAAGGAAGAGAGCTAGGTAGGAACAGGGGTGATCTTGTGCAAAATGAGACAAAGGGACACTTCTGGAATTGACACGTTCCAGGCCTGATGCACAGGCAACTTTTATAATAACTGAACATGTCTTAAGAGCACTTAGCTATTACATCTAAAATTTGTACAATAATGGAGAGGTATATGTATGTATATGCATAACTCGGTATCATTTCATTTCATGAACTATGGAAAAGGGAGAGAACGTAACACGACTTGGCATGTCTAACCTTCTGAAGTGGGGAGTGCCAGCGGAGTACCTACGTCAAGCGCTAACGCGGAGCGGACGGCGGGGGGAGCCGCCAGCAAGGCTCCTGTGAGTATCCTCCTGCGTTAGGGAGAAAAGGAAGTCTTCCCAGCCACATGCTGGCTGTCAGGTTGAGGGCCTGAGCACGCCATCCAAAGAAAACGGCAAGTGCATGGTGGGACATGTTTAAACAGCTTCCTCGCAGACCCGGCACTTCCCAGGCGGCACTGCCAATGGGGTAAACAGTCTTGTGTAGGCAGAGCTGTTTCAGTTCGCCTAACGATGTTTCAATGATAGGAAATCCTGACTTTCATTCAAAACAGCTAGACATTATCATCAAATTTCCACTACAAAATTTTGCAGAGAAACCACAGGCTTCCTCTTATGCTGACATTCATTAAGAGTCTGCGATGAGTAAACTGACTCAATTCTTATTTTCTCCTTTTCAAAGGAAGTACAGGATACTCTGTGACAGCGCTCACAGACCGAGGCTTATCTCCACCATGAGGAAGTGCCTATGCGCCCCTGGCTTGGTGTCGCTCAGTGCTTTTCAACAAGACAGCTGGTCAGATGCAAACATGACATCACCGAGTCACGAGCGCACGTGTGGGGCCACCACCCATACTGAGAGCGTCGTGGGGGCTCTGGGGGCACCCAGGACGCTGCACGGAGCTCCTCACCTGCTCTCCGGTGTCAGGTGGGCCGCCACAGTGTCCCGCAGGGTGCAGATTTCAAGCCTGGCCTGGAGGTGAGAAAGGGACAGGTGACCACGGGGAACCATGTCGACTGTCCAGCAGAAAGCAGCAAGGGTGAGCTCTAGCCTGCTCCCCGCAGAGCAGATTGCCAGGCCACGGCAGCAGCTCCTTAGCGCAGACCTTCTAAATCAGCCCAGAGAGACCAGCCGTGGAAACGCTCCCCGTTACTGAACAAGGGTGTGGGCTGTCAAGTCTGACTCCGTAGAGGCAGGGGTCTTGCTCTGAAAGGTACAGACTGTGCCAGGGCCGTCCAGCCACCAGGCCTCACCATTCAGCAGCACCTCCCCTGGTCTCCTCGGGGCGGAAGCGAGGCCTCACTGCCCCGAAGCTGACGGGGATGGAAGGACACAGGCTGCCTCAGGCCCCATGCTGCCCTCCAGCACCGTGGCTCCCCTTGGCGCTAAGTGCTGCAGGCTCAGTGCCGTGCTGTTGAAACTACAGCTGACTTTTCTCTTTTGTTTTTTCTTTTTGAAAACAAAATATGACAAGTTGGTCCCAGACAAACAACACTGAAAAGGAATAGCACAGTCAGAGAAACTCAGACCTTCAGAGTTCAAAATGTCCTGCAGAGCTACAATAATTCCAACAGTGTGGTGCTGGCACATGGCCTGACACGTGGATCAACAGGACAGGACTGAGTGGCAGAAACAAACCTTTACATTTACAGTCAAACGACTTTCAACAAGGTGCCAGGGCCATTCGGTGGGGGAGATGGTCTCTCTAATACATGGTGCTGGGACAGCAGGGCAACTGTATGTCCACACTCCAAGGACTGCAGGTGAGTCTCTTCCTTAAAACAAAAACTGACTCCAAGGAGAGCACAGACCGCATACATGATAAAACTGCACAACGCTTGGAGGAAAACCAGAGTGGGCCTTTGTGACGTGAGGCTAGGCCTGCCTTCTTAGGAATGACAACAGAAGTACAAGTGACAAAAGAAAAAAGAGAAAACTTGGAATTCCTCAGAATTAAAACATCCTGTGCTACAAAGGACATCATCACAGGTGTGATGATCACATAGAACAAGACACCCTTGGCAGACATGGGCATGGCCATGACCAGCCAGTCACACACTGCTGATGAGGATGTGGGGAAATCTGGGTTCTTCATACACAGTGGTAGGAAAGCAGCTGCAGCTCCTCTGAAAGCAGTCTGGAGTTCATCCAGTGATTCCAGGAGCCACATAACCCAGCGATTCTAGTCCCTGCTATATGCCCAAGAGAAATGAGAACATGTGGCCACAGAGAATCTGCATACAAGTGTTCACAGAACCATTCTTCCTATCAGCCAAAAAGTGCAAACCCTAGTGTTCATCAAACGATGGGCAGACAGACACGAGGCAGCAAACCTACACAGTGGAATGTTAGCCACAAAAAGGCGTGATGCAGGCTACAGCACAGAAGGGCCTGGAGCTGCCCGGGAGGCTGTCTAAGACACACACAGGCAAGGATGAGTGCCAGGCTGGGTTTAGATTCACCCACAGAGAGGAAGGCTGACTCACATAAGATACATGTGCAGTCTAGAAAGCAGATGTTTGGGCCCATTTTTCAGGGGGTCAGAAGCCTGAAACAGCTCATGATGAGAAAGTGTTCATGTGACTATCTGTCTTTGCTGTTTATGTTCTAGTATATATAAAAACGGACCTACAAAGAGAATATCAAAGAGAAAAAATAAGGTAGAACTTTCAGCTCAATATTTTAGGAGATGGATTAAATCACTATAAACTTCATCTTTGCTAGAAACTTTATTCAGACAAAGTACAAGGTGTTTTAATTAACCTATGAATTATACCTATTATAAGAGCTGTGATGATTCACACAAAACACATGGGCTGTTGGCCAGCAAACGCTCCTCCTGGCCGGCTCTTGGGAAGGTCTGAGGCTGGTGGCCACTCAGCTCTTCATGCTAGGCCCTCTCGGTCACCTGCTAAGGTGCAGGTCACACACGGGCAGGTGCAAGGGCAGTGGGCAGAGGTTTTCAGAACAGAACTGACTGTCTCCAGGGAGCACAGGGCGTGGGAGACCAGGCGGGTGTGTAGCTGGGCCTCCAGCTGATTCTGACATCTGTCCCAGCCCCTTCCTGCCAGCCATGAGAGAAACTCAGCCACCAGCTGAACGGGCGGCAGAGGTGTGGGGAGGGGGGTCTCTGTTCTAATCTCAAGACCCCTTGGGCTTCCCCGGTGGCCCAGCTGCTGAGGAATCCGCCTGCAGTGTGGGAGACCTGGCTTCGATCCCTGGGTTGCGAAGATCCGCTGGAGAAGGGAACAGCTACCCACTCCAGTATTCTGGTCTGGAGAATTCCATGGACTGTACAGTCCATGGGGTCGCAAAGAGTCAGAGACGACTGAGCTATTTTCACTTTCACTTTCAAGACCCCTTAGGCCCAAAGCAGATACTGCAACTTCCCTTTAGTTCATCTTCACACACACAAGGTTCCTGTTATGAGTCTTCAGGTTTTTCTTTTTACTGATACATTTTCTTATTTTTATTATTACTCAGGTTTAAGTTGTTATCTGTAGGGGGTTGGCCTGAAAGCAGGGCCTCAGCCAGTACTAGAAGCAACACTTCCGGGACTTTCAGAAAAACTCTCACGAGGCCCTTGCCATGAGGCCCATGGGTGGGGCTCAGGCCCCCACAAGTCTGCAGTCCTGGCTCTTACAATCTGGCCACATGTAAACTCAGACCCATCTGACTTGGATATCCAAGTTACATCTGTTACTGTAATTATGCAATTCCATGAAATACAACATAAACCAATGGAGTATGAGCAGAAAGAATTAGCTGTCATTTCTATGCAAACCGCACTGATTGCTCTGGAAAGACTATTTACAGGTAAGCTGCTAAGAATTTCCTGTTAAATTAGATGTAGTGAAGACATCTGTAAAACAAACAACAACAAAAATATCACAGAGCTGCAGGACTCTGCATTCAGAAAGGCACACAAGCACTGTCACACTCTGAAGGGAGAGCAGCTCTGGGACTGCTGACGTCCTAGATGTGGTCCCAGGGGACGATGCACCCCCAACTGGCAGAGCCACCGAGAAAATAACACAAAGCCTGTGTGGACCTCCTGGGACTACAACTGACACACGTCTCCGTGGTTTAGACAACTGTGTCCACATGCACAGGAGTGGCGTGGTACCTGTAAAGCTCCATTTTTGCTGAAGGACGAGACGCACTGCATGAGCCGACTCAGCTCCTCAGAGACCGCCTCCACCACCCTGGACAGCACCCGGGGCACCAGGTCCTTGGAGATAGTGAACACCTGACGGAAGGTTGAAAATATGAAGAAATGGTGTGTTATGGGGACTTTCCTTGACCTGAATGTGTTAGAAACAAAGGGATGCACGAAGCAAAACCGCCCCCAGGCCTCCTAAGCCAGGAATGGAAGGGAGACCCTAACCCGCCGGGTTTACCGGCGCATGACAAAAGGTAACCTCCAAAAACAGATCGGCGGAGAGAACTCTGAAAGGTGCTGCTGATGGTGACAAGGTGAAACAGTTTTAAGGATTTTTTCCTCCTCTTACCCTTTTCACAAGAAGAAATGTGATTTCTAAAGAGGAAATTGTAGACACAAAAACATACTGGGTCAGACTCTTCTTGGATCAAAACAACTGCTACTTCATACTGGGTACATAACTATGTATTGCACAAGAGTTCCCAATTTTACTATCTGCTGAATTAAAAGCATGTTTCCTTTCATTTGACAAAAAAATCATTTTCAAGTTTTGAATTTTGATAGTTTCAAACTAAGAATTACTATATTTGGTGAAACATTACTATCCTGACATATATTAAACTAAATCATATTTTCTTTTTAGCTTTTCCATTTTTCAGATTTAATCACTGGTCTTAAACCTTCATATCAACCCAAACATAACCTTAGCATCGAAGAAAATTCTGGGCAAGGTAAGATTGTTTGGGAATAGTAAACAGTAAATGTTACGTACAGAATTCTACTTTCAGCCACTGGGATGTGTGGAAAAGGGACCGGAAAAGCCTTTTTCGTTTGTTTGACTCCTCAGTAGGAGTCACCACCATCACTCAAAGGCCCACGCACCCTGCAGCGCCCTTGGCACAGCCTGCGACGGGCTGTCTCTATCGCCTGAGGACCTAACGCCGCACTGATTTTTCCAGAAGCTAACCTAACAGAAGAGCGTTTTTATAAAGATCTCCGATGTATAAAAAGTATCAAAATCTAAAGTATGCCACTCATCATGAAAAGGTCTATGTGGTAAACTCGCGCCTGAGCCACACCATGTAAAGCTTTGTCTCACAGAAAGTGAGTGTGCCGTGCCGCACAAGCGCCTGAGAAGGATGGGCACCGCGGCCCGCTCTCTAGAGAGGCTGCTGGACGTGGCTGCCTCGGCAAGCCGGCAACTGCGTCCTTCGCTCACGCTCTGGCTCAGCCTCCACGGCCACGTGTCGCCAGGCCGCCGAGGTGGCCCAGACAGCACGTGTGGGTACAGAGGGTGATGCAGACCTCACCCCCTGATGCACCTGCACAGAGGAAGACACTCAGAAGGAGTTCTGGCAGTGGTCACTGCAACAGCAGTCTTCTACCGAGAACCTCTCTGCTGGGCCCACCTCATCTACTGGACGACGGCCCACGGGCTGCAGCTGAGCCGGAAGTCCACAACTGTGAACTGCAAAGGCGGCCACGGTGGGGACAATGGTGGATGGGACACTAGCGGAAAGCTCCCCGGGGAGCGGGCCAGGCGTGACCAGCAGCACCGGTGTCCGGGAACCCTCATCAGTCACGGAGGGGAGGCCACCGCCTGCGCCCTGCCACAGGCTAAGCCTGTCCCTCCAGCACACCCCACGGCTGCCAGAGTAAGATGCCAACGCTCACTGCTACCTGGTGAAAACCAGGGCAGCGGGTGCCCAAGGTGGAGAAAACATCCTTTCACTCTCTAACCTCTTTACCTTCCAAATATCCACTAGTTTTAATTATGAGAAAAAAACATACCAAATTTCAGAAAAAAGACTCTCATAGTTAAAATACCCACGTATGTGCATTGAAACCAGATACTGTGTTTTACTCAGTAAAACACTCAAATCTGTGTTTTAGTCAGACTAAAAATACATTCTGAAGGGAGAAGACCCCCTTAAGAACCACTGAATTTGCCCCTGCTTTCTTGTCCAGTTACCCACACCCTTTAGGAATAGTTAGCGACAGCTTACCTCTGCATGCACGGCGATTATATTCACCAATGCTTCTTTCAAGTAGTTTCTGACACCTGCAATCAGACGGGGGAGGGAAAGGCATTCAGTGGAGATGCGAGTGCCTCGCACCTTCCAGGAGGCAGATGGACAGCACAGGCCCAGAGCTCCTGGGGACAAATGGCCAGAGGGCTACGCTCATACAAGTCTTTAAAAAGGCAGAATTAACTTCGAGTTTTCTTTCACAGTTTTTCCATTTCTCTCATTGTTCTGTCCTCTGTAATCAGTCTGCTTCAAAAGTGAAATTTAAAACTGCCCATCAATGTCTTCATACACGTTCTTCATATGTATGTATGTAAACATACACACACCAGACCAAGACCAAAGGAGAATATTTACCAGAGTTTATGAAACACCTGCTACACACCTGCTGCAGCATCGGCTTCCAAATTTAAAGTCAAATTATGCAGAGTAACTATTTTGATCTTAGAAATGTAAGTTCTGGGAGAAACTTCTGAAAAAGACACATTCCACCTGATTCTCTAAGCAAGTTAGAGACTGGACAAACCCAGGACTTGAGGCTGGCAGGGCTGCCCTCCAGCGCGGGCACGCTGGGGAGGGGTGGTCAGCAGGTGAGAGTGTGGGTCCAGTCCCATCTCCTCCCCACAAGCCAGGACCTGCGGCAGGAGGACTGGGAGACCACCCCATCCCCCATCCACAAGTGTGAGGTTCACACCCTTTGTGGTGTTGCAGTGAGGAGGCCCTGGTGCTCACAGGGCTCCTAAGAGCCCCAGTGCTATTTTGTAAGAAAAAGTATAAAAACAAAATACTGCTCTAGTGACTCCAAAATAATTACTTTCACTTGGAGGAGAACAGTATTTCAGGACGCCTTCCACAGTTAACAGCATGAACTGAGAACTTCTTCTGTATGAAACAGAAAATTGTGTTGCAAAGTCACTTTCCCCACAATCTGCCCAAGCTGCTGATGAGTTAGGAGGGCTGAACCACAACCCCCGTGAGGACCCGGCATGTGTGGATTCTAAACACACAGCTGCGTCAGAGGCCATTGTGTTCCGGGCCGTGTATGGATGCTCACAAATTTTGAGGAGCCAATCTCATAAATATTTCTTTGGCTCTATTTTGCTGATGGAATAACTGAGAAAACAGATTGAAACATAATTAAATACAATCTAGAAGTAAGTTGATTCTTCCTGAGAACAAGGACAGCCGCAGGGTGGTAACAAGTCCTATCTGGGAGGAAACAGCCATACCAGTGAAGGTGAAAGGTGAAATGTGTGACTAGTGTAATGACCAGGAGAGCTGGCTCCCCGAGAGGATGCCCCCTAGGCCAGGCAGGGGCTTGTGGGCCTCAGCACTGTGCTCTGGTCAACCCTACCACTGGGCTTAAGACTCGAGTTTTTAAACTGAACCATGTGGAGGGCTGGCTTCTGCACATCCAGAGGTAAAAGCAGTTCCTGGGCCCGCCACAGTGAGCACACACACACATGCATGCGCAAACACACACAGAGTCCTCAGGAGGCTGTGAGCCCGCTGGAACTCTTTGCTCACACCCTGCACGGGTTTGGGAAGGATTGCGCATGTCGCCTGCCCCATGGAAGGGGCCCCTGGCCCCCATGTGACATCGGGGAGGCGGGCTTGAGTGAGCGAGAACCGCAGCCGGCCCTGACCTCAGGCCTCCCCGGAGCTCCCTGACTGGCGGGCTGCCTGGGGCTACAGCAGAGGTGCTGCCTGCTCCTCACGGGGCACCTCTCAGGGGACAGCGAGGCAGGGAGCTCTCCCTGGTGCGGCCGGGCCGGCACACAGGCTCCGCCAGGCCCCCCGGCCAAGCTGGCTGGTGCCACCTCCCTGCTGGACTGTCAGCTCCGTGGGCATGGGGCTTGCCCCCTTCACTGCACCTCTGGGGCCTCGCACCCACCACACAGGCTGGGCGGCAGGTCAAGAATGTTTACGCGTAAGAAACAAGAGGGCAAAAGGAGCATGTGCTTACTCACGATGACGCTCCCAGGGCTGAGTCCTCTTACGCTGAAAAGTGAACGCGTGAGTGAACAAACGTGAGAGAAAAAGCACAGGCAGGATTCTGCAGTATCCACAAAGAGGGTCAACGCTGAGTGTCTGTGTGAAGGGTATGTCTGCTAAAGCAAGTCTCTCCGCTTTCACAGGATTTAATAAAACAAAGACAGCCTTCTGAAGTAAGTTTTCACGATCCATTTGGAAAATATAACTTGAATAAAGAAAGTACAGCAGAATACAATACTGCTGAGGCTAAATACATCTGTTTTCAGCCTGATTTTTCCAGCTGTATCCCTGAGCAAACGGCCTGCTCCAAAGAACAGAACATCAACACGGCCTGAACGCTCACTATGCCAGGTACCTAGAAGACGCCCGCCTCCTAGAACTGTGAACACTCGGGATGGGTGCTGGCTCTCGGGTCGGCCCAGCAGAGCGGGTCATTAATGCCAGCCTCACGGGCCTCGAGCAGGCAGGCACGCACACAGGAAGGCAGAGCAAGCACCGCTCTGTTGTGATGCGGCAGTCGGTGTTGTTTGTAAGAAGGTTCCTCTTAGATGAACGCCCACGACTTTCCATGTTCTTCAGACACAGAATGAGAAGTGCTTCTGAGTATTTACAATCTTGCCTCCTCAACTCCGAACGTGGAATCAGAGTGTGTCATGGTATTTGATGAGAGAAGTGTCCCCACCCACACAGCACCAGTCCAGACTGTCGCCGAGCAGCGCGCCCAGTGGCGCAGCGGGAATTCCCCACGGAGCGGCAGAGCCCAGCTCTTCTGGGCAAGAGTCCCCGGGCCCCCCCGCAGGATGGGCTTCTCACACGGGGGCCTGGACCTCAGAGCATCTTTGCCAACAATGAAGGTCTTGTTTTTCATACATCAAAGTGGAAAAGAAGTCTCTCTTCTAGCTGTATTTATTGGCTTCCTGTTTTAATCAAATAGGGAGGACACCATTTTGGAATAACTAGCAGAATTTTTATTGAATGCCTATTACTGTTACCTGCCAGACTCTGTTCCACGTGCTGGGGACAGGGGAGTGGCCTCAAGAACAAACTCACAAAAAACAAAGCCCCCTCCTCACAGGGCTACATGCCGCCCGTGTCCCCCCACAGGAGAGAGCCTTACGGGGTCTCGGAAGCAGCCCTCAGAAAGCAGGCTCCAGGAACAGAACCGTTCGCAGCAGTAAAACGGCGCTTCTGCTTGACAAGACCGCTCAGCGCTGTCTCTGGAGAAACGGGCCCTGCCAGCGGAAAAGCAAGCAGAGCCCTTCTGTGCCTCCCTCAGGAACGACACCCAGCGACAGCCTGAAACACAGGTGTACCGGGGCACACGCTGACTGAAGCTTTGGGTTTTCTCCTTGAAATATGGGACACTGTTTTTTCCAATTAAAGTGTTATACAGGCAGACTCGAATTTTCCTATGATAATTTGGACAAATGGGAAACTGTCTATTCAGTTAAAAAGTGCTATATAGGCAGACTTGAGTCTTCCTATAATAATTTGGACAAGTGGCTAGGCAGTCCTCTCTAGAGAGTATCCACATTAAAGACCAGAATAGTGAAAACTTTGGATTGATCAAGACTATGTTCTTGTTTTGAAAATATTACATGCACATTGACAAGGAGACACAGAATTGTAAGGTTCCCTAATAACAAATAGAAGTCCAGTAAGCTCCCCCCTTTATCTTTCTCCCTAGCATGGTGTGTCTTCTAGATCTTTTCCTACGAATATAATTTTTTTTCCTAAAAAGTAAGATGACAGTGCTCATTCCTGAGTCTTGCTTGCTTCTTTCCCTGATGTCCATGCACTCTTCCGTGCTGGTGTGCACACACTGACCTTATCTTCACTGGCTGCTGAGGGTTTTTTAGCATGCATGTGCCGTAATTTACTCATCTTATTTATTCTAAGTTGTTTCATTACTTCTACTCACTCATAACTTACCCTACTACTCAGCAGTCACGCTACCTTTCAGTATACAACATCATAAACAACACCACGAGGCTACCAGTCCTTACACTCTCATAGAATAATTTACTCAGATACCTTCTAGAAGTGAAATTGCTGAGTCAAAGATTTTGATCCATTCTGCCAACTTGAAATTGAAAAGGCCACTCAAAATTAAACCCCCACTTCCTCATGCTTTTTTACTTTCTTAACTTGGATTCTCTACTTACTATAATTAATAAAAACCATAATATATGCTTCTCAACTATGATGATGACAAAACTTTCCATCAAAACACTATAAGAAAAATTCAAGCAAAATGCAAAGGTCAAAGGAAATTTACTTTGTTACACAAGACTTAGACCGACAGAATAAAGTGAGAGAGAGGTGGACAGAGACACTGCAGGTACAGAAGACACTGGTACCCGCCCTCCCCCCAACACCCAGCTTTCCTCCAAGGCACTTCCTGCTAAATCCTCCATACACAGGCTGGTCTCAGGCACCCTGCCTCTTGTTGTTCTGAAACACTGCACTCAGTAATAAAAGTCTGACTCTGGAAACTCTGGAGAGACTGCCTACTTTATAAACCACATTTCCTGTTTTTAACCCTTGTGCCCTAAATCAGTTACCAGTCCTAGTCTACAGATAAAAATAGATTGAAAAATACTATAAATATCCCACAATGTACTTTTTTTTTTGGTCAAACTGAAACACTACATGAAAGAACTTTGGGGTATTTCTTTTCAAGTAAATCATCTATTCAATTACAGTGTGAAGACACATTATTGAAATTACAGCCTATTAAAGACAACCAGAAACAGCATCAACACTGTCAGTTAGAAAGGCTTAAAACTTCTGAAGCAAAACCACTTGTGCTGGAGCAGAGAACAGCTTCAGGTCCAGGTCTTTATGTTTAATTCACTCTTTCTTGACATATCTGGGATTTGTAAGTGAATGCTTGGGGTCAAAAGAACCCATTTCATATGCAGTATATGAATGAATAAATAGGTCTCTACCGTTTTCTATTTTCTTTCTCAGAATCCTTTTTTTGGGGCTTTAATTAATATATCTCAGATCATGAACTCCTTATTGCCAAATTCAGACT